CAATTTAAATTACATAATTTTTTTATTTTTTAATTTAATATATTATTCAAGAAAGTAAGAACTTATTGTTTAATAGTTTCAATTAAGTTTTTATTTTCTTTTTAAATAAAAATTTAAGATGCCAACTACGGAAGTATTACGACATATTATCAAAACTTACTTATATATCATATTAAAAGTTAATAAAAAAATTAAAAATTTAAATTATATAATATTTAACATTAAATTTAATATCAAAGATTAATTTTACATTAAATATTTTTTATTTTACAATTAAATACAATTTATATGGTAAAAACAAAGAATTCAAAAGTTAAAGTCAAATTTCCATTTCAACAAGTTTACATAAAATCAAACTAGTTTTTAAACTCTAACAACGTCTCATACATCATCCTGTGAATATAGCAAGGATGAAAAACCACCCTGTTTGGGAACAAGACCTAACATTCACGTGAAAAGGATATTTCCAGAATTCATAAAAAGCAAATGAAGCCAGATAGGTAAGTTAGCACCTCCCCCAGCAAAAATTTGCAACAACAGAAGATAGAGAGAGAAAGAATAAGATCAGATAAACACCCCCACAAGAATCCATTGATTTTTTTTGTTGTTTTTTTTGGTTTAGATGCCATTCCAATTCCTCCCAACTCCCCAAACCACACAACACGTCAATAAAATCAATTCCCCATATTACCCTCCCCAAATGGACCCCCCTATCGCTATTACCTAACCCTAAGAAACTTCTTCCAGGGGCATTCCCGTCATTCCATTCAGCTAAACCCTGTCTAAGTAGCAACCTCCCCTGTCCTGTCTGGACCCATAATTTTGACTCCTTTTTTGGTTTGATTTTTTGGGTTCTCATGACTTATCTGAGAAAGGTTCGTATGCTTGCTATCTATGGCAGGGAACCATAATAAGTACGGCAAAGACAATATCTTTTGGGAGTATTTTAATCCTTTTTTATTGCATAAATTAAGAATCACAAAAAAAAAAAATATTGGAAAAAAATTTAATTATTTAATATAATAATAATATAATTATAATATTACATAAAATTATAATACTTATAATGATAATATGATATTAAATTAATAAATATATAAATTTTTTTATAAATAATTAGTTATATAAAAATAATTACTTAAATTATAAATTTAAAATTTTTACGTAATGTTATAAATATATTTTTTTTTCCGTTATTTAATTAATATTTGAAGGGTCAATTTGCTCGTACCGTCCGCACTTGAATCTGTCCTTCCTCACATATTTCTTTCACCAAATGAGCTGGGTCGCGCTAAGACAATGACCTCTCAGCTTAATGACCCTTCTACCCTCGTCAACTCTCCGTGTCCTCACTGTCCTTTTCCCGTACGGTCTTTGTGCTTTGACTCTTCTGCCCTTCCCTTTGTAATTTTTTTCCCCTTCTCATACTGTTCTTAATTTTTTTTATTAGTTATTAAATATAATATATAATTCTAAAACAAATTAAAATGTACCAACAACAATAAAAAGTTTAATTGATCTAATTTTCTAGCATTTTTATTTTCTTCTCTAACCGTTTTTATCCTTTCTTGGTCATATTCGTTTTTCTTTTTCTTTAATAGTTTAAAATAGCATATAGTACTAAGATAAATTAAAATTTACTTGAAATCAATAAGAGTTAAATTGATGTAATTCATTGACAATAAAATCTTTTACATGAAATTAAGATTAGTGGTTTAAAACTTTATACTATTGACTATTAGGTACTAAATAAGTATTAAAAAGTAACAACTAAAATTTTATCATCTGATAAATTCATATTATATGTTACTCTTTACTTTATAAACTTAACAAGATATAATCTTATAAGTTATAAGTTGAAGAATTTAAATGTATAATATAATACAATTTAATTTGTTTTCAAAACAAATTCATTTAAACCAAAAACCTACTTACAAATTCTTCTTCTTCTTTTTCTAAGCAGATATGTATAAAAAAATATTAACTTCTCAAGCATGATAAGAAATAAAATCAATTTATAAAAAATCTAACTCCAATTGATTTTACAAAAACCATGTATAATTTAACTTTAATTTTATTTTTTCCATCCAAATTTTATAATTGCAAATTATTTTTTAAAATAGAAAAAACAATAAACAATTACTTTTTAGGATGGTATTTAGTAATTAGTATCTAGGAGATTTGAAGCAATATTAAATTAAATGAAAATATTAACTTAGGTTGTGAATAAATTTTCCTTTGTACCCAAACTAAATGTTATTTTACATATATTAGTTTACAAAATTATATCAAAAAAATATTTATTTACAAAATAAAATGAATGATGGGTCCATCACTCCATCTCCTTCGCGATTTTCATGTATAGCTCCTTTGAAATTCCTTGTTATAGGTAGGAAGAATCAAGAAAGGGGTGATTTTGTCCTTAAAAAGAAACATACGCAATCAGATAAACCTTTTTCGAAAGTCCCGGGAGCCTATAACCGTAATTTACTTATCCTTCAACTGCTCGAATCCACCCTGTTTTTCAGTTAATGGCTACTTCCGTTCTGCGACTCAGGGAAAATCCCCAAAAACCTTCCCTTTAAACATATAGACGCAGTCTACTTTCTCAACTCCTCCAAAACCCCCACCCCCCGCCTCCTAATTCTCGCTGGAACGATGAAGAGGCAGAAGCGAGAGTGCCCTGAATCCTCCAATCCCTTCGATGTTCTCTCCGAAGAGATCATTTTCATGGTTTTGGACCTCCTCGAGCAAAACCCACTTGACAAGAAAGCGTTTTCCTTGGTCTGCAAGTCGTTCTACGCTACCGAGTCCAAGCACCGCAAGACCCTGAAGCCTCTCCGACAACAGCACCTCCCGGCCGTCCTCTCGCGGTACCCGAACATCACCCATCTCGATCTAACTATGTGTTCTAGGGTCTCCGACGCTTCTCTGTCGAGTATTTCTAATGCATGCCGTTTTAATCTTCGTTCCATTGATTTTTCCCAAAGTCGGCTTCTTTCATGTTCTGGGTTGCTGGGTTTGGCTCAGAATTGTAAGAATCTCGTGGAGATTGATTTGTCGAATGGAACGGAGTTGAAGGATTCGGCTATGGCTGCTATTGCAGAGGCTCGGAATCTGGAGAAGTTGTGGTTGGCAAGGTGTAAGTCAATTACGGATATGGGGATTGGGTGCGTTGCAGTTGGGTGTAGAAAGTTGAAGCTTCTTAGCTTGAAATGGTGCTTGGGGGTTGGTGACTTGGGCGTTGGTTTGGTGGCTGTCAAGTGCAAGGAAATTCGCAGTTTGGATCTCTCATACTTGCCGGTAACTTTTTGTTTTCTGTTTTCAGTAATTGAAATTTTCAATTTTTTTTTAAACTCTAGAAACTGAATTTTGTTGCTTGATCAAGTTCTTCTAGCTTCCCAACTGTTTCTTCAAATGCTGAAAAAGTAGTTGCAAATGAATCGACTTATTGTGCTTTGCAGATTACAAACAAATGCTTACCATCTATACTGAAATTACAATATCTTGAAGATCTGGTTCTGGAGGGATGTTTTGGTATTGATGATGACAGTCTTGGAGTCTTCAAACATGGATGCAAATCACTAAAGGTATGCATTTTGGCGGAAATAGAGGGAATTTGTAACTACTACTAGTTATCAATATGCATAATGATGGTTAGTTTGCAGTAGTTGGGAGGTTATGGTTTGTTGACTGCATAACTTGATCTGTAGATGATTTAATTATCCGACCAATTGAATAGAAAACATTCGTGAAAAGTGCTCTGTGTCTTTGTGTGATTCTTTTTTTTAATTGGGTGGATCTCTCATCTATTTGAATAATTATCTAACAAATCCTTTAATTTTTCTTTTAACAGAGTCTTGATATGTCTAGTTGTCAGAATATTAGTCAGAGTGGTTTATCTTCCCTGATTAGCGGTACTGAAGGTCTTCAGCAACTAACCTTAGCTTATGGCTCACCAGTAAGTCTTTTCTTTTTAAAAAATAAATAAATAAATTGTTATTACATTTCTCTGGTTACTATTTGAAGAGATTTCTCTTAGCCATGTATTTACAATGTTAGTGATGATGATGATATTTCAGGTAACCACTTCTCTTGCCAATGGTTTGAAAAAGCTTTCCATGTTGCAATCAATTAAGCTAGATGGTTGCATGATTACCTGTGATGGATTGAAGACAATTGCTGATTGGTGCATTTCGCTAAGGGAGTTGAGCTTAAGTAAATGTTCAGGGGTAACGGATGAAGGTCTCTCTTCCGTTGTAATGAAACAAAGAGGCCTGACAAAGCTAGATATTACATGTTGTCGCAAGATCACTGATGCTTCTATTGCCTGCATTGCAAATTTGTGCAACTCTCTCACTTCTTTTAGAATGGAGTCTTGTACCTTGATTTCTAGAGAAGCGTTTGTTTTGATTGGACAGAGGTGCCATTTGCTTGAAGAGCTTGACCTTACTGATAATGAAATTGATGATGAAGGTATTTCCTTCCCTAAAGTGCACTACTGTAAAATTAGAACTACAGGAATTAAGGAGTACTTACATATGTTCTCCACCATGCAGGTCTGAAGTCCATCTCCAGGTGTTCTAAACTTGCTACCTTAAAATTAGGAATTTGCCTTAACATAACTGATGAGGGGTTGATGCACATTGGCAAGGGTTGCCCAAAACTAAAAGAGCTTGATTTGTACAGGTTTGCCATTTAAAATTCAACTAAAGAACTGTTTTGATTTACTATTATTTTTATTTTCTTTTAAACCTCTGATTATTGGTTTCAGGTCATCAGGGATTACAGATTTGGGTATTTTAGAAATTGCACGTGGTTGCTCTGACCTGGAGATGATTAATATAGCCTACTGTAAAGAGATTACTGATGCTTCCTTTTTGTCGTTATCAAAATGCTCACAGTTGAGGACATTTGAAAGTCGAGGGTGTCCTCTGATCACATCCTTTGGCCTAACAGCCATCGCTGTGGGATGTAAACAACTAACCAAACTAGACATAAAGAAATGTCACAACATTGACGATGCTGGGATGCTTCAACTTGCTCATTTTTCACAAAACCTTAGACAGGTATTTTCTTTTCTCTTGAAAACTTAGAACAAATATAAACAAAAATTAATTTCCAGCCAATGATGACTCATTATTTTCCTTGTAGATAAATTTATCATATACATCTGTTACGGATGTGGGGCTTTTATCCCTGGCCAGCATCAGCTGCATACAGAACATCACAATCTTACACTTAAAAGGCTTGACTCCAAGTGGACTAGCAGCTGCCTTGCTGTCTTGTGGGGGTCTAACAAAAATGAAGCTCCAGTCAACCTTCAAATGGTTGCTACCCCAGCCTCTTCTTGAACATTTAGAAGCTCGTGGTTGCGCATTTCAGTGGAGAGATAAAGTGCTTCAGGTTTCTTTTTCTTTCTATAGTTGACTACCCGGATTCAACTTTAAAACATTTCAAACGTCTGCAGTAGCCATTTTTCTCAGTTACTCAATTAATGCCTGCATTTTTGGAGTTTTTTGTTCTTAGAGAATTGGGTAGAGAAGCGTGCTTCATCATAATATCATCGGTTTAAATTTAATTCGAGGTATTCAAGTTTGGATTTTGTAATTGACAGGCTGAATTGGATCCAAAGTGTTGGAAACTACAATTGGAAGATACCGTGGAGTAGGAATTCTTGATCTTCTGGATGAGAAGTCAGCAACTCACCTATCAGCAAGACATTCAAATTCCAAGCTTTGAACGAAGGAGTTCTAAGTTGTTTCTCATTTTCCGATATCATATTCTATAACATTATTCCACACACAACTAGAACCTCCTCCCACCTCCTAGGTGGATCCCCGCGCCTCATGATATAGGGCTGGAGGCACCTCTTAGGCTCGTAGGGAACCAGAAGGGCGGATTCCTATTGGATATCCGAAAGTCCCATTCCAAAAAGGCATAATGCTTTCCATCAAAGCCAAAAGACGCATTGGCCAGATCAAAGTATGTTGGATAGCATAATATAATCTATGTTTATTGTTGGTCTTAAGAGTGGCCAATACCAAGACAACACTGTGCTGTAATGTGTACATGGAACCTTGGAAAAGAATGAAATGAATCTTTTGAAGAACTATGTTCTTTTCTCATATCTTTGACCATTGTATTACCATTGGAAGCATCCAATAATCTTGTTCTTGAATCTTCAACAAGAACTCGC